TTGGATATCTGTCAAATAAACCCAATAATAGTTCACATAAGTCATGTCCTGCATCTAATTTATCTGTTGCCTATAAACATATACATTTATTGCTCTGCATTTTGGCAATACGATCTTTCGATAGAATACAGAACACACAAGACTGATAAGGTCAGAGCACAGAACACGAAACTGACAACTTCGGAACAAGGTTGACATAACGGAATAATGCGTTAGCATTAGAAGCCCCATTTCGAAGAAAAACCCGCGTGGTCGACGTCGTCGGTGTAGTGTTCTGCGCACTGGGGTGAGCGATGCAATTAAAAAAAAAAGACTTACAAAAAGTTATATCTTGCATGACTTCTGTAGAATATACTTTGAGGCGCACATCCACAGGCTTCCCATAGTCCTCACTGATGTCCCGTGTAGAAACACAAAGCAGTCCCCTAGCGTGTGACAGCAGCCCGCACAATGTCGTACTTGTCCTATGGGATCCTATATTCCCGCAGGCTGCGGGGTACCTACAGCAACCCACATAATTTCTTACATGTCCCATAAAAGCCAGGGTTCTATCCCCACAGACTCTGTGGATTACCCAAAGGAGCCTCCACAGGTTAAGTGGGTTGCCCAAAGGAGCCCTTACAGGCTTTGTGGGTTACCCAAGGGACCCCACACAGAAACCCGCATGTTCCATAGGTCCACAGGCCTGACCCCACACAGATTTTAGGGCACCCATACAACCCCATAGGTGCCCCATAGAGACCTCTAAGATTCCACACAAATTTTCTGTGGGTGCTCTGTGGGCATTTGGACCAGGGGTGCTATTCTGGTCGCAAACGGGTACCTTTCGAGTTGTGACGTATTGAGAAAGAAGGGGCGGAGCCTCAAACTAGAATGATTCTTGTTTGAGGCTCCGCCCCTACGTTCGGGTTCACGCACGCGGCAAGCTAGAATCTGACGATCCCCTACGTCGCGATGACGTGTCCACGCAGTTGGGGCGCAGAAATCCCCGCATTTCCCCCTGTTCTTTTTGTTCTCTTCTTTCTTTCCTCCGGGAGTTAAAACGAGCGAATAACGGAGAAAAGGCTACCTTCCGGAAAATGGAAGGAACCAGAAAAAAATAATATTATCCTTTGATAAAATACGAAAGATTATTTCAATAATTATGACGTAAAGTAAATTTAACTAAGATATCTCACCTTGTTTTCTCGAAGTCTTTCGCTACGGTATTTGAAAACAAACATGGCGAAAACCGCGGTAACGACCTTGTGGTGTATGTGTCTCTTTTGCGTCGTTGCTTTCCCTGCTTCTTCACGATACGGATGGCATTACGAGAAAAAAAAATATTACGTGAAGGTGCGCTGCGACACCGATCATCCTTTGTGAAGCCGCCTTGAACATAAGCTGCTAATGAAATTTCCTGTTTGCCTGTGAAGGAGACTTCAGATGGATACAGAGCTGACGACGACTCTGTGGGAGTATATGACAAGTCATGAGATCGACGCAGAGTGCAACGGTTGTGAGCATTCTGTGGATGATGCAGGAAAGTTTCTTCGGGCAGTTTTAATAATGCTTTGCTCCTTTGCTCACTGCAGTGATCCTGCCTATATAGTTTCCATAAGCCATGCTCTTCTCTTTCGGCGCTGAAGAAATGCACGCGACGGCATAATCTCGGGCAGTTTTTTTTACTTATTTTCATTTGCTGAATAGCTCGTGCAAAAAAAAAAAAACGGCTCTTTACGTTTTTACACGTCCCTACATAGGTACCTCGCTTTCCCATTGGCTTCATTGCGCGTGACGATTCAACGCCATTTGCCGTGGAAACGTTCGTGAAACTAGAAAGCCTCTGTTTGCCGCTAACAGTCGTTTTTCGAGTTCGGGTTGTGACGACAAAATGACGTAAGAACAAGAATGCACGGGACTATTTGCATTGTTTTAACTCGACAACCGTACCCTTGGCGAGTTAAACTCGAAAGAACATGGCCGCGATGCTCGTCGGATCGACCGCGGCTGGGGTTTGACATGCGATCGGTCACTTGATCAACGCGCACACGAATACTTTCGTGCTGTTGGATGAGCCCATTCGGCGGCAGGACTGGGTGGAAGAGCACAGTGAGCTGGCGTTTAACGTCTCCGATGTAACGCTTGGCGCGATGCAAGACTTGGCTTCTATTTGTGCCGGTGTTATGAAGCTTGAAAGTGGTGGTGTTGTTGTGGCTCGTACGGTAGCGTTGCTGATATTATAAAGACGGTAATAGACCTTTATTCAGCGTTGCGGTGCATTAAGATTCAAAACCTCGCCTTGACACAAAGAGAACCACGTTTCCGCGAGCACGAAGGCAGCAGCCAACGGTCTGAGAAAGAACTGTGCCGCCGCCACGACCCCCAGCGATCGCCCCAACGGCAAGAAAACAAACGACAAGCTCATTGAGGTTTGTGTAGTGCTGACTACTGATTCATCGGACGACAAAGGTGAATGATGTAAAACGCACCGTAAGTTTGCCAGCATTTTGCAAAACAAAATCGTTTCGTTGAAAATTTATTTTGTGGAATTCGTTAACGCCTTGAAAGTTTGACGGGGACCGCATTGTGAACGCAGGCTTCACACAAGTGTTTTCTACAGTGTGTGCTTTGGCTGCATGCATATAAAGACAAAAACACTGCCTATATGGTGCATAAAATAAAAGAAATTTCGTTTATCTTCATAATGTTGACTATCTATTGAGTGCTGTTGATAGTAGTGGCGTAGCCAGGAACTTCTAAGAGGGTGAGGATGGAGGGGGGTTGAGGTGGCTGGGATGTTCATGACTTGGGGTGCGGGGGGGGGATGGTGTCGGAATTTGTGTGTATATTCTAGGGCCCGCCGGATTTCGGGAGGGAAGGAGCGAAGCCCCATAAACCCCCCCCCCCCCTTCTCGCTCCCCCCTCCCCCCCCCCCCCCCCTGGCTTTGCCACATAAGGGGAGCATCCTACATTCACAGGCTGCTATAAGCATGTGCATAGCCACTGAGCTCGTACCACAATGGCAAGATAGTTGCTGACATTCTTCACGTTACGTAGCAGTTCTTTCTTTAGTACATATGCTCGCTTTTCCTTCACACATCTACTCTGCCTCCGCTTGTTGTTTATGCTTGATGGTGATAAGCCAACAGTGCGTATTTGCTCTGCATCACAGGCAAATCTCAAAAATCCAGCTCACACTACTCTTTAATTTCAATGAGTTACTGTCACTTTTGAAACGACAATCTGTTTAATTGCTATAATAGCCTTTACATTAAACACACGTGTGTTGAATGTAGCACAATTCTATTTTATTGTTTTTCGTGGTCACGAAGATAACAACCATCCACAAGACACTGGCTAAATTTCTCCTCTACAGTGGGTAACAATGTTACCATACTCTGTCAAACTAAACTGCTGCTGTCTAGACAAGTAAGGATTCATTTTAGGACAGACCTCTTCGTAGTTTATTGCAGGGCATCGAAAGGTGTTCTTATGACTTTCCGATGACTGACTTGCAATTCCAGCAGCTTGGCGTGAAAAGGTAAAATATCTAATTCATACAACAAAATGCCATCAGCAACCCATCCAGATCTTATTGCGTGATTGACAGTAGCTACAGACCGCAACGAATTGTCAACTGAAGACCTAGGTTCTAAGCGTGCACTAACTTTGAAGCGGTAGAAACCCTGAAGTTTAAACGTCAACTTACTACCATGTTGTTAATGGCAAAATGGTGTTTGCGGCAAAGTGTTGGAGTCCTTCAGAATGGTGACGGTCTCCTTCAGACCGATGATGACGGTGACGAAGGTTTAGTTAGAGTCGAATTTTAGTCAACGCACCCGACGACGTCGGTGTGCTTGTCATGGTGGCGACGAAAGCCTTCTTTCGCACATGCCTCAGCTGCCTCGGTCCGGGGTTTCGTCGACCCAACCTTCTCTTCCCAGCCGGTTGACAGCGATACTCACGACGGCCGTCACGGCTCTGCTCACCATCCACTGGGCATTAGCTATGTGATCATCGGGGGCAACCGCGCCCTTGTAGTTCCCCGTTGCGAAAAATCTCAGTGCGATTCAATTTGTAGCTGCTGCTCGACGGTCATCATCTCTCATCGTCGCCGTCTCTCGTTGTCACACTAGGATCACACGGTGCTTTTCGACAAGCGGTATTGTCGTCAGAAACTGTCGTCGTGCATCGCGAAGGCAACCGGGTGCTCGCGGAAAGCCCGTCATTGTACGTGTTGGTCGAGCCATCGGTGAGCAACAAGCATCGCCGCCATTTTCTACGCTCTAGAATCCTGCCCAAAGCTTGTTCCCCTTTGTGCAATAGAAAGAGAGGTTAAAAGCACGAGCGCATCACCCCGAACGATCTTGCACGAACGTTGGCTTGCACTGCGCAAGCGCGCCTGCTCGACAGGGACGTTGAAAGCCCGGAGCACGTTCTTGTAGCTCCTACACCCGCACTAGCTCGCACTGATAGTGAAACAGAGAGTAGGGTGTGTCGAGTAATACCGCAGTTAATCTAGTGACGCGACTTCCGCTATGTGCTACGTAGGTCGGACGTGGTCATGCGTCACTTTGTCGTCACGGTTCGAACTCGAAGAGCGACAGTTACGGCAAACGGTTGCTTTCGTGTTTCGCGAACGTTCCCATGGGAACCGCGTGGAATTATCACGCGGGCTGTGGCCAATAGGAGCGCGCGGTTCGTAGGGGGGAGGAGTTTTCGAGAAACACGAACGTGACCGTTTGTGACCAGGATAGCACACCAGGGCGAGCTTTCGCTCCACGCGCCCAGCGTGTCCTCAATAAGTGTGCATAAAAAAGACGAAAACGTCCCCTGGCCAGACTCGCGCTTTTGCACGCACAGCATCGGCTGTTCCAGCTCGCGCACCTATTGCTGTTGGCGAACGTCCGTGTGCACACCTCGCAGCAGCTCAGCGGATTTGAAAATGGAGAGCGTTAGCCCTACTTCTGAAGACGTTAACAAACACAACGTAACCAGCGGTAGTTCAACATTCTCAGGGGGTACCTCCACCAGGACACCAGCAAGCGATGGTACCCATACCGTCAAAACCAGAGCCGAGCTCACTTCGCAGAGACATCATCATCACACACCGAAAGAAGTGGATTTCTCACGGACGCGCAGCGCACCAGCAACAGGGACCTCGCCAGCTGAAAGGTGGAATCGGGCAGGTCCCGATCCTGTCCGTGCTCCGAGCCCAGTCGATTTCGGACAAAACGTCTTCTCCACTGAAGAGGAGTTAAACGGCGAAGAGGTGGAACAGGACACCAGGTGCCTTAAGATGTGGTTCTTCTGCATCGCAAGTGCGGGAACCATGTTGATTCCCATCGGCCTGGTGCTCCTTGGCTACCTGTCAAATTTATACAAGACTTCACTCAACAGAAGCAGCACCACTGCGGTCTTGACGACGCGTTCCAACGCCGGTCGAGGGACAACTATAAATTCGTTGACTGCAGTCGAGTTAAATTGCTCTGGTGCGGTGAACCTGGAGGACGACATCAACGATCTGCGACGTGATATCAGCAGTTTTTCGATGCCTCATACAAAAAACCTCAGTTTTTTTTGTCTGTTCAACAATTCGAGGTTCCGCAAAAACGAAGGTTTCCATTTCCTTCCGGAGCATCTACCGTTCGACCTTTGTCCATACGTCATTTATTGGTCAATGAGCATCCAGGATGGCCAAGTAAGAAGTAGAGTTCCAGCATTTGACATGCTGTATGGCATCTCGGAGCTGAAGAATACCACCGACCACCTCAGTGGAGGCAAAACCAAGGTTTTGGTGGCCCTCGGAGGGTACCCCGAAGACAGTCCTCAATTTTCGAGGCTGGGCAGGGACTCCGTGGCCATGGATATCCTAGTCGTCGACATCGTGACGATGATGATCGACCTTCGCCTGGACGGGATCGCTATCCACTGGGTTGTGCCCACAGGCGCCTGCCAGCCTTCCGACGTCCACAACACACTGTCAGCACTTTTCGCAAACGTGAGGAAGCTTTTGATTCTAAACAATCTACCAGCGCTAACGACGCTCATTCTTCCCCCCGGAGACGTTGTTACTGTAGGCTCGATGCCGCCGGACCTGGTGGATTTTTTCTTCTTCATGACCCATGAGATTCAACCGGACAACACTACCACCGACCCTTGCCAATACGTCACGACAAAAGCACTCGAGTTTCTAACAAGTATTCCTGAGTATAATCAGCATCGGCGAAAGCTTTGCGTCGGTATTTCTATGGCTGCCTTCTTCTTAGATCTGATCGAGGACCGCCAATTCACATCGACCCGCTTTCCCTATATACAGGGCCGGGCGCCGCTTTTCGAATTGTGCACAGGACAGCTGCCAGGAGAACGTTCCGCTTGGAACTGCACAATTTACTTAGGTGTGACGCCGTCGGGTAATTTGTCATCACTATACGTGTACCTGTCAGCTCATAAGATGAACGATCTTCTACACCGGAACATTCCACAGGGAAGCTCTCGGTGCACCCTTGTCGCTGACCTTGACTTCGAGACTTACAAGCCGGGCTGTTCAAAGTTATACCCAACACTGACTAGGCTATACCAACAGGTGTGAGTAGTACACACCGGCTAACTAAATTAGGTAAACCTTCATATAATTTAAAGTTTTTGTAGTTTTTCTTTTTAAAGTTATCATCCAGAAATGGAGGGCTTCCTGCTCATAGATTTAAATATATATTTTGTCTGCCCCGTACCGAGGAATATTTTCTCAGTTTTTTTAATCATATATGAACCACTCCTGTTCTTTTCCGGGTATTTCTGATCAAATATAAACCAGGTACGAGGAGCAGTGCATTCGTTTGGGCGTTTCTGGTTTTCTGCGTTCGTTCAAACACTTGCCTGTCAAGAACATTTCTTGGTTGAATTGAGAAATGGTGGGGCTGAATTTCGTACATCTCGTATTGTAGAACGGTTGTTGTAAGTTGTATTCAAAAGGGCGAGTAATCCATGCTCCCCCTTTTTCTTCCCGGGATGCGCATCACGTGGTAACAAGGTAACGCTTTTTGCTTGGTGCCGTGCTAACGTAAACATCCCAGGGGGATGGGGGAGCATCCCCTTGGGATCCCCTGGGATGGCGGAACTCCCACCGCCTTCGCGTGGGATCTCTTTGCAATTGACGGTATTTCGTTCAAGTGTCTGGCAACTTTTCAGATTTTTCTCAGCGAGGTGCCAGCAATCGCATCGGGGTTGCCCCCTGGTCTCTACGACAATTTCCTCGATCGCGCATCCCCGCTTGGTGGCTGCAGCGCGAGTGCGGCCACCGGACGGCCATCTTGCATGCAGCGAAATAGCGCTTTTGTTGCGAGCGTGGCAGAGAATGGAAGCAGAGTGCTGAAGACGCGTTTACTACCCGTTCTTCGTCATCCGCTGAAGTTCCTTAAACCCATGTAAAAATGGTGAGACATGCCTTTGAGGACACGTTCTAGTTTTTACGTAAGCGCAGCGCCTCATAAAAAAGACACAACTCGTCGGAAGCAAGTTTCGGCGGTGTCGCGGCGTGATCGAAGGTTCTTTTGCACGCCGCATTGTGTTTCGTCTCTGTGCCTTCGCACGCTTGGACACCGATCAAGAATCGCCATCGTGTGAATGAGTTTTGCGAGTGAAATGTGCGTGAAGTCATATGTGCCCTTGAAGCAGCGTTTTAATTTACTTTGAAGATAGTATTCGTAACTTGCGGCACTCGCGGTCCTGACTCGAGCTTGATCCAGAGTCCAGTGGCAACTAAAGGTGGGGGGGGGGGGGGGGGGAGAGTAGAAACCAGGTAACGTGCAAAGGGTAGAAGGAGGGTGAGGAGAAAGCAAGGGAAAATTTAAAAGCAAGAAGTCGTCGGCCTTTAAAATAACTCAATCGATCAAATCAAATCAAATTTATTTGACACCACATCGTACAAGGATGGTGATGTCGGGAGGACAGACAAAAAGCCACTGGAGTGTGGCTTGACGAGGTCTGTGCCCTCGATTGATCTAATTAGCGACAACGGCTATTATACAATAGTAAACAAGGAAGTAACAATCTATACAGCTGTTTGCAAAAACAGAACTTAGCACATGTTAGGCCAATAATACAGTGAAAACGAAAACCAGAAAAACAAGGTTGTTAAAACGAAACATAATAACATAAAAAACACATTTACTTTCTAATGAGTGTGGGAATTGAGTAATGATGGCAGTGTGTAAAGAATTGATTGAGTACCGTAATTTGTACGTACAAAGGGTATATTCCACATTTTACAGTGACGTTTGTTATAGCTGCTTCATGCAGCTATAACACTCTCTTCAAAACACTCTGCTTCATTAGCAGAAAAAAAATATAATTTTAGGAGGGTCGAATTGATGTAGTGATTGAAAATTTTCGCAAGAGAGGTGCATGTTTAGGAATATATCCTTGTCTTCTACTGTAGTACAGCAAGCAGTTACACAAGTGTACTTCAAAATTCTTGCAACTTGCGTTTCTACGTTCTAGAAACATGTCGATGTGTTTTAAAGATTTTTAGACAATGCTGATGGCCTTGGCACACTAACTGCCTACAAACGGGGCAAGAATTTGTCCTTTGAAGCAAAGTCCTAAACTTCAGAGCCCCCCAAATGGCGCCTCAATAAGCAAAGTTACTCCAAGCGAGCCCTTGTCCAGCTCCTGCTCTGTACTCGCTCCATTTGTTGAGCATTCTGGAGTAACGTCCCCCGTTTTGATCCAGAATGGCAGACATCGTTCACTGACCAGACATTCCCGTAATAATAGTAGCTTTTAGTGCGTGAAAATTCCTTTAAAGGTGCAACCCAATCCCCCAAATTCCAAAATGTTGCATGTCCGTGTGTGCACTTCCCGCTAAGAGTGATGCAATTGAATCGCCATTTGTGCCAAACTGCGCCAAAGGGCTTCCTTTGCTACATCCTGCTACATTTAACCCCGATGCGAGGAATTTGCGCCAATATTGCCCCAAAAGTTGATTTCACTTTAATATTAAACACTGAAAATATAAAGGCTCAGGCCCCTCTGCAGGTACAAATCGTTACGGGAGGGTTGTGCGAATTTTCAAAACTTTCAAATTTTGCCGCATGTAGCTACTATCTCGTTTCATCTCGCTATGCGTGCCGAACACTGACAGTGTTTTCAATTTGGCAATATCTCTTATGTTCCGACCCAGGCAGAACAACAAAATTAGTCCAACTTTGGTCCCATATTGGTAAATAATGACAACGATATTAGCCAATATGGACAAGTGCAGCGCGTCGCTATGTTGACTCAATATTGTGCGCACCTTTTAGGCTTTTCTGTGGACCCATTATTGACGAATGTTAGTGCACATGTCAAGCCAATATTTACAAAGCTATCCCAATATTATCCAATATTGGCGCACATTTTCTGGCCAATATCTGCCACACGACCTGGTTCAATATGGACCATTATTGGTACGTGTTTTATTGCCAGTATTGGCCGCACGAACTTCCTCAATGTTGACTACTATTGGTACACATTTTCTAGCCAATATTGGGGCACGGCCGGGCTGGAAGCGCGCGCTCTCTTTCTCTTCTTACGGCCCTTGCAATTGGGGCAATCGCCAGCTTCCGCCGCAATTCGCGGGGGGCGCTGTCACCTCACCCCTGGGCTACCCTTTGCCGTTTGCACAGAATGCGTCTGACAGTGTATCTCACCGCTGTCGCAACTTGCGGCAGAGATTTTTATAGCCTTTGACACCTGATCCTTACGTTTAGAACCCCAGCCACTTTCTAATGCGCTTCTGACGAGCCCAAAACGGTGAATGTTTGACGCAGATCTCCGAGATATTCAGGAGTAAAAAGTAGTAAGTAGAGACAGCGAATTCAATTGCGGAAAAACTATACTCGCCTTTCCTCCAGAACTTTTGTTGCAACTAAGGAACAGGAGGAGACGAACCCCTTCTACGTGGAGGAACTTTAAATGATAAATAATTCGTACACTCTCGTGAAATGTAGGCAGGCCCAATCTATCTATTGCCGTGGTCTGCATCATCTTTTCATATAGGCCGCACATGAAGTCTGTCAGCTGCTGTAGACGAGGGTGTAATAGTCCGTACAATTTCCGCACAGTGCATATTACAGCCTAAACTGCTTCCTCGGGGGATTGTGCACAGAACCAGCTGATTTTTTGTTTCTGTCCGTGTCCGTCTTTGCATGGTTAATTAGAAGTATTCTGACGAACCGTTGCAAAAACAACAACTTACGAAACTCGAACACCAGCGCAAAGC